ATGTCTCCTACTTCACTGTAATGTCCATTCTCAGTGCGTCTGCACTGGTGCTTTCAAGTTTCTACACCACACTGTAGAAGTTGCATACTGGACCAGCCCTGACACATCACTGTTTAAATGTGTTATTGCTAATGTGTTAACAAATTGTTTCTTATCTTAGCTGTTTTTTGTCTTTTGGACCGAGTCAAAGTCACATACTCAAGTCTTTGAGACATGAGACAAGTCATGAATTCTACTATATCATTTAAAATCTTCTACTTCTTAAATGAAAACAAGCCATTTAACATCCAGTTGCAAGTAATTAATCAAATCATCTGTATGTATGTAATTGTTTAACAAGAACACTCAGGGTTCAATTCACAAAAGGATTGTGCGGCTTTTGCAGCTGTTAAACCAGCACAAATGAGACTAAATGAAAACTTTGTACTTCATAAAGCAAATGGTGGAATGCACCCCTAACTCAGCAACATTAAATTCATTAGCGAATCAAGTTGAGTCTCACAGCAGATAAATCCAAGTTTAATTGCAAGTCCTCATTTCTGCAACAAGACATTATGGCACCATGAACTGCCCATCACTAGAGTCTCAAGTCTGAAACTCTAAGTGAGACTGAACCAAACACCAAATGTGCTGCAAAACTCTAAGAATTATTGTATTGTATATACAGTAGAAGTGCAGAGTTAGGTCATTACACTCCCCTTTCACATTACATATAGACACTTTATTCAGTGTTAAAGTATAATTTTGTATATTTACGTGTGTGTTGATGTAGAAGTAGATGTTCTTTACCTGAAGGAGCCATATTCAGGTGGTGGCTGGTATCGGACGTGGGGCACCTCCCTCGAATGCTCCCTCACTCTCTGCTCCTGGTAAAAATGGCTTCCAGGCTCCTGCTGCTTTGTAGGTGAGCCCATTCCTTTGAAGGGGTAGTCTGGAGGTGGGCCACGATGCTGCGGTTTGTAGTAGTCTCCCGGAGGCCCTGGCGGAGGCAGCAAGGGGGACAGCGGGGCACTGGTGACCGGAGCATGTGCCTTCACGCCACTGGTGGCCAGTGAAAGCTGCATAAGTCGTTCGCTGAGAGACCGAACATGTCCCTGCTTCAGATCCTTCAAACCATCATCCTGGTGCACCTTCCCTGCACCGCTCACTCGCTGCACCGTTGGGCGGCCCTCAGTGCGCACCTTGGCACTGGTCACCCCAGTGACGTAGAAGGCGGCACCAACCGAGGCAGGGAGAGAAGGCTGCTGGGGCTGGTTGTTCTGCTGCTGAGGCTGAGGAGGAGGACCATGGCCACGGAAGTATTGGGACTGCACTTTGGCCTCTTCGTATGTAGGGAGGTCCTCTGGGTTCAGGCACTGCCCTTGGCCACTCCCACCTACTCCACTGCTGCCTCCTGCTCCTCCTCCAGACACTAAACCTCCTCCACCTCCACTGCTCCCACCCCCTCCTCCTACTCTGTTGGAGCCCAGCTTCTCCAGGCCATTGTCAGTTTGCAACTCCTGTCCCTGGGGCTCCTGACGGGCATTGTGGGGGGTCATGGAGTGATCATCAGAAGGGCCTACCTGTCCCTGTCCTGAGTAACCTCCTCCACCTCCCCCTCCTGCTACTCCTCCTCCTTGTTGTTGTTGTTGTTGTTGTTGCTGCTGCTGTTGCAGCACATAATTCCGATTCATTTGCTCCTGCAGGAGGCGCTGCAGGACAGTGCTGCCGCCACCTCCTACACTGTTGCTGCTGTTGGACGACTCCTCAACTGCGGCCCTCATCTCTGCCTCACGTTGACCACGCACCTCATGGAAAGACAAGCTCCGCCCACGGTCAATACTCCCTGAGAGGATGAGGAGGAGAAGGCGGGGAGAGAGAAAAAGGAAGCAGTGTGGCATAGGATGAATTTTATAAGGGTGAAGAATGTGAAGGAATGGAAAGAGAGAGAGTGACAGAGAACAAAAGAGAAAAGGACAAAAAGCATTAAAGTTAGAGATGCACATGGACCATCCACCACCATCCTAGACCCCCAACCCTCCCACAAAGCCATGGAAGACCCACTGATGCATGATGGGACAGTAGAACAAGACTGGAAGAAGAACAATTTCTGAAAAAGCAGAGGAGTAAGCCACCAGCAAAACCTTTAATCACAACAACACAACACAAATATCAAAGCTAACAATTTTAATAAAAGAATGAAGACTGTGACAGCTGTGTGATGACAAGACACAGATCGTAAGCTTGATGCTCCAATAACAGTTGAGTAAGCCTCAATCAGAACCTTGCTCAACATTCTCCTTTCGTGCATGTAAAGGATAGGAGTCTATGTTGAAGAGACAACCAAGTTTGGAAGATGGTTTAACATAAAGGCAACATATCACATCTTAAATTAGCTAATGTTAGCAAAACATTAAGATAACTAACAGTGGTAAATTAGCAAGCTAGTTAGCTACGGTTTTGCTGACATTAGCTAGCTAACTTAAAACGTGGCTATGTGGCTTTTATCTTTTTAACCATTTTTTCCAACATAGAGAGCCTAGCACATAGCATATCTAAGTACAGGAAAGGAGGAAGTTGACGGAGGTTCTGAGCAAAGCCTGCTCATCAGGGCCAAAAGGGGCGGGACTTAGGGAGGGTCAATTAACATTTCAAACATAAGTGTTGTTTACTTGTGGCACTGACAAGAAAATGTTGCAGTGTAGTTATACAAAGTAGCACAAAACCACTTAGCATTGTTCAGATTTATTGTGGTTTGCTGACTAATCAATGGCTACAGTGTCTGTGGATTGGACTATGAAATGCTTACAATGCAAAGAAGCTGCAGGACAAAAATAGAAACTTTACACATTACATGGTGAGATATGTAAATGCATGTTTGAAGTACTACAGGATTAATGGAAATCTTTGAGAACTAGCATTTATTCCTTTCCTTTATAAATTACAAGATTATTCAGTGTTAATTATTATCCAAATGTATCATCATGATGAGGACTGATGTAAGTCAGTCTGAAAGACAGCTAAATGGGAAGGTTAACTTTTTAACTACTTTTTAAGTTTTTATACGCATAGATAAATCATCAGCAATGCTTGGTGTTTTTTTCAGCCAAAATATAACACCACATGAGATACAAAACACTGACTTCAGTCAGGCTACATGGACTAACTTGATTAGATGTTTTTGAAAACCAGAATCAAAGATTTGAGGATCACACAGATTACAGTGACTCCATTTTACCCCTTCAAACGATCAGGAACATGATTTCCTTCCTAGAAATGTATGAGATTGTAACCCATTGGCCATTGTGCAACAAGGATTTGATTGGCAATGTTAACACAATGTTAAAGACAAAAGCAATATGTTTTCAGTTGAACATCCAACGTTGTCAAAGTTAAAACCACCACCTGAGATGTTTCTGTTGTGTTTTGTCCAAATCAAAGAGGATAATTTCCTTCCAAATCATACCTCACTTCAGCGAGAGGTTTAAACTCAAAAGTTATTATAACATCTTCTCTACAGTCTTGAGAAACAAGTGAAAAAATGTATTTTTCTTATTTGCATACAATGAAGTTTGTTATTAGTGTGGTTTCTTCTGACAACACTTAATGTTAACAACTCCAACGTTTTACACCTTTTTCTACAGAGTAAAGAAAGAAATTATTACATCTAGCGCTTTCTGTTATTCTTCTCATTCTCAAGGAGGAAGATGCTTTTTTCCGAAACATCTGTGGGTAAATAAAATCATATGAGACAAAAGAAAAAATGTTAGCTTTGGTGGCATGACAGCAGAGACAGAAAAGAAGAAAAGTATTTATTGAATAATGAGTTGGGTAGTGGAATTTCAGATGCACAAAAGCTCACTTTAAACTTAAATGACAATGAAAAGCAACAAATCACAAAAAACAAGTACTAACAACCCCAAATTACTAACTTTTTCATTAGACATTGATAAACCTTGAATTTTTTAAGATACAATAAGCAACTTCAGCAAAGTAACAACAACTTGAATTTCAGGTCGTATTTTTTTCTTTGTGCCACCATTATACTTGAACATGAACATTGTTTTATGGCACCCAGCATATAGACAGCGAGCAACGGATTTCACATGACAATTTTCACAACTTAGATATATTTGAATGAAACCCTTTGATGGACCCTTTAGTCTGGAAGACCCTTACGGACTAAAGGAATATGAATAACTAAGGAATGGAGACAGACCGTATGGTCTGGATTTTATGACTGATTCAGAGGTTGGGAGTCAGCACTTGCTTTCCGTCTGTCTTGTTTACCATGCCAGTAAATCTGAATTAATTATACTTGTGTAGCATGTCCATATTGACAAAACTTTAAACATTTATATTTGTGTAGGCGATCTAAACGCCCTAAAACCCACTCAAGTTGGCAACCTGCCAGACTTTAAGAGGTTTAATACATCCAGATAATTTCTATAAAGAATCCGCAGACCAGGCCTCTAATGGAGACTGGAGATGGAGATTTATTTAGTGTGTAGCCACATCAGGCTAGTAAGGGAGACCTGCGTCTTCAAGTCTTATCCCCCTCTACATGTTCTCTTCGTGGCGCATTATCTGCCAGTGTTGCTGTATCTTATATTGCTATGCTAATGACATCCAACTTTATGCATTTGTGAAACCTGAAATGTAAATAAAATTGTTTTAATAAACATGCTGTAACCAAATGTGTTTATTTCAGCATTAAAAAGAAATGTTTGATGTGTTTAAAGTAGAATTGTAGACTGAGGACAGAATGTGAGCAACAGGATGCTGACTGCAGTTCACTTAATAGCCACTGGTGTCATTATAACCTTTAATGACAACAACAAAATTCACGTGCAACTGACTCTAAATACAGGAAGAAGCTGGGGATGTAGTGGCAGTTAAATTAGTGAAAGCAGGCAGCAGTGTAGCAGCCAGGATGCAGAGTACAGCATTGTTCTATGCAGACTGAATGTTTATACGGACCACCTATTGTGAGCGATTGGTTGTGGACATACGTGACTGGAGGTTATGGAACATGAGACCATAAATTGAACTACCGCTGGCTCCATTAGACACATTTAAAAATGTCTGACTAGTTAGACAGGTTGTCAGCACTGGCAGATGTTTGGCAAGGTGTGTTTTGTAGGCATAAACAAATGATCAATCAGATAATAAATATTCTGTGTAGTTATTATTGTTGCATATTGAAGCTTTAAAATATTATTACACTTATTAATTACTACAGCCAGCTAGCAGCAGGACGAGAGGAGGAGGAATAAGGAAAAAAACAACAAAAACAACAGAAAAGAGAGCTGAGACCAGATGAGATGGCATGACAGATTATACTGTTAAGATGCAAGAGGCAATGACTCTGTAAAGAGTTCATTCATTGCTTTTGTGTACATTTGATTCTTTGTAGTAATTTCCTGGGTTTAATCTACTTAGAGAATCCAAACTGTGAAATGCGACATTTTGGGCGATAAACTTACATGAGTCAGACGTGAAGACTGATACCAGTTTAGTCTAATCCAGGACAGAAAAACTGATTTGGGAAGAGTCTAGCCTATCCTAAGACTGACACCAAAAGGTGAAAATAATGCCTTTTAACAACCTCAATGCAGTCCTATTAATGTGTTGTATTTTCAAATACTACAGAGCCTACCAGAGGTAATATGGTAGGGAAAAGAAATGAGCGAAGGGACTGATGAACCAAGCAAACAGATTAACTTTGAAAACCAACAAACTGTAAGGGGAAAGTCTTTGAGAGAGTGCAGTCAACTGGAGTTCATGCGACGATAAGACTTTGGTTAGATAGTGTCTTGTAATGGTTAGGCATGGGATGATATGGAAATTTAATGTCACAATTATTCTGGCCAAAATAAATAAATCACTATACATTATATGTTTTGTTAAGAAACAAATAATTTTGCTGCATTTCAGCTAGAACACCTCAGAAAGGGCCCTTATTTCCCATCATTCTTTAGTTTGGAATCTGTAGTATTTCCACACATCTAGTTGAACTTTTATTGTGTGAGACACAACGGGAAAGCCGAGCCTTAAGCCATGGTGGCTTAGGAATTTTCCCCTTGTGACAATTCAAAGAAATAAATCAAGAAATCAATATATGACTGTATCTTAGTGACCTAGACAGCTTTTTCAAGTCACTCATGTGAGGATATTCATGATTATCCAGATAATTATATTTATATTTATATATATTTATATATTATAAAGAATATTATCTGAGTGTTTTTATTTGCAATACGTGATAATATTATATAATGTCCTATCTCTAGTTATGGTGATATAATTGGTTAATTATACCAGGTGGAGCATGAAAGCATGAAATAATAATAGTTATCTAACAGAAATAATAATTTCTGTTAGATAACTTGAATGCTAGAACTAAGCATAATATAATAATAGAATAGAAGAAAATAAGAACAACCCTAGGTTCCTCTTCAGCACTGTAGCCAGGCTGACAGAGTCACAGTTCTATTAGGCCACATATCCCCGTAAACTTACCTAGCAATGACTTCATGAGCTTCTTTTATAATAAAATTATTACTATTAGAGAGAAAATTAATCACCAAATGCCCTCAACAGTTATCACTGGCTCTCCAAGTTCAGGAACTTTAACTAATGTAAACTCAGATATATATTTAGAATGTTTTTCTGCTATCAATCTTCATCAGTTAACTTCAATAATTTCTTCATCGAAGCCATCAACCTGTCTATGTCAGTTAGACCCTATCCCAACTAGCTGCTTAAAGAAGTGTACCCTTAATGGACTTCTTACTAGATAGGATTAATCTTTCTTATTATCAGGATATGTACCACAGTCTTAAAGAGCTCTAATCAAACCCCTCTAAGAAGCCCACGCTTGACCCAGTTTACAACTATAGACGATTCTAACCTCCTTCCTCTCATAAGGATCTGAAAAAGTAGTCGCAAACAGTGTGTGACTTTCTACATAGCAATAATTATTTTAGGATTTCAGTCAGGATTAGAGTTCAGAGGCCAGACCTACAGATTTTAAACACCGAAGCACTGGACTTCGTCAACAAGACTTTAAGAAGAATCCGCCCCGGACATGACTAACTCTGGATCTCTCT